ATTTAGCTGCAAAAAAAAAGGCCCGATCTGAATCGATTGACTTAAGGTAGAAGCGATTGTTGAGCAAATGTGCAAGAGCAAAAAGGCGTGAAAAGTGCTTGACACCTCATCCAAAAGCCAAAAGGCGGATCAAATGTGACATGGGAAAGTGGGTGACGATGCTCAGCTGGAGCACCACCTGGATGATTAATTTACAGTCCTTGAAAGTGGGGAAAAAGAATTAATCCAATTTTTAATTATGTTAATTCATTTAAAATATCTGTCGTAAATGGGACTTATCCATTGCTGAAACTAACGGCTTCCATGGCTGGTCAGTCCTGATCATCGGATCTCGCTGTCTCTCTCTCTCTCTCTCTCTCTCTCTCTCCCTCTCTCTCTCTCACTCTTGCTGTACAATTAGGAATTGATGTCATATGTCAGTGCACAAATGGCTTTATGCGAAAAGTCCATAAAAGAGGCACGAAAAGTCCACTTTGTAGATTGAATGAATTAGTTCAATTTATTGTTTGAGCTGTGCTCATATGAACTAGCAATATGAACGTTTGGCATGCGGTGTCACGTTCTGGATGACTGAGCGATGGATGCTTGGAAACAAGTGCGTAATACGCCATATGAAAGAAACATGTTGGACATACTAACTGCTGCCAGCAATGTACATATACATATATAATATATGTATATGTATTGTGAGGGGCCGAGCAACGCCAAAAAGTTGTTTCAATTTAATTTGACTTTGATCGCCAGCTGACGCTGTTGGTGTCATCCCCATGTCATGTACTTGTCCTCGCGCTGCCATATGGAAAACAGCCATATTAGATGCCAGCATGTCTCACTTTCTTCATGAATATATATACATATATACTATACATACATCAACGCAAGCTGTGCGCAAATTACAAACGACTCAAATTTCAAATTCGCAACATTTTGTTATTTCAATAAATGGAATTTCCAAAGAAAGAAGATTTAAGATACGATAAATATTTTATTTTAATTTTTTGAATTTTATTTCAAATTTTCAACATGATTTAGTTTATGCAAAAAAAAAATATTTTTATGGGATTTTCTTGATACATATTCAACGAAGAGAGCATAGAGAGGGGAGATAGAGAGAGAAAGGTATTATCTTTCCATGCTTTACTGTTAAGTCTCATAAAGATTATTGTTTTTTTTTTTTTTTTTTCTTCTGTTCGAGTCTTTAAAATGTAAATACATAAACACAAACTTGTGTATCTGAAATGTCGAATGTGGGCTGTGTTTTATTGCCACGAGGGCTGTGAAGTAGCTGAAAACTTCATAAATCACAAAAGTTTGTTTCGGCCATGAAAAGGCTTAAGGGTTTATCAAAATGAAAATTTATTGGTGCTCAAATACATGGAATTTTGAGATTTATGTATTTTCGTTGCCCCTCCACACACAGGACATTCCATCGATGGCTCGTCTACGAGCCCAAAGCGATTTCCCTAAGGCTGCGGGACGGGGGGCTTGGCAAACCAGAGTTTTCATACTAATATTAACACGCAGCAGCCAGCAGCAGTGGAAAATTGCTGTTAATTTCAATTTACGTGACACTTTCAAACTGCTGCAGTCCAATTTTCTGGCTGCCCAGGTAAACGACTACGATTATCCGTATGCACTACAATTAAGTCCAATTGCGGTTCTGTTATGCTGCAGCAATTCAGATACAAACAAATTGCTTTCCAAGTTTTTCTACTCACAAACTTTCTCTTCTTCTCCTTCTATCTTTGCTTCTATTATCTGTGTATGAGAGAGCCCTTATGAAGGAAAGCTGAGAAGCAAAGAATATTAAACAATTGTTGGTGACTAATATTAATAAAGAGTTTGTATTAAGATACAATGGAGTATATTAAAATATAGATACCTCCAGTTATTTTGAGGAATAAGATTTAAAAGCTCTCAGAAAAACATATTATGCTATTCTAATCATGATTGAACTCTATTTTTGTTGATTTTTTCAAAGGCAACGATATTTAAAATATTTGATAAGTACAATTAATTGACTTCTCTCAAATAAGACTTTTGCAATTGAGAGTCGTAGCTGAAGTTTATCTCAAATTGAAGAAAATAAACTAATTAATAAAATGCAAGTTAAGAAACTATTCTCAATTAACTATAATATACTTGCTTGGATAAATTTGATCTTGATTTGTTTAGTCAATAGGTGATGATTATTCTATGCACCAGGCCCAGCTGAAGCTTTAATTTATTGTATGTATATAAATCTAATATTCGCCTTACAGTTTCGCTCGTCTGTTTATTCTACACAGATATCTCAAAAATAAAGACAATAATCGTCAAATTAAGTAGCTCAAACCTCAAATTCAAATCTAAAATATTTTTCAGCCTTTACCACACGCTCTACATCCGATCCGGCAGGGTATTTGATAGTCAGCTTCCACTCTCTCATCGACGCTTTCAACATCATTTTTGACGTCAGCTCCGTTTCCTGCAGCATTTCCTCTGCCGACCGAAGCAGCTGGCATTAATTTTCATTTAAATTCCGCTTGTTAAATATGCAAAATTCTCGCTTTGTGGTTCAGTTGGGCCTGAACCTGAACCTGCACCACGAGCCCGTACCAATCTCTCTGACAGTTGCCAGTTCGTGCTCGAGTCATTATTAAATTGCAGTACACTCGGCTGGGCACCTGGTCGAGAAGTGCGTCGCATAATCTTTGTGGTTGACCAACAACTTCTCGCAAACTACATTGCACCTGACAACAGTTTTTATCTCACTTGGAGTCCGAGTCCGAGCAGGAGTCCAAGTCAGAGCCAGAGCCAGAGAAGTGCTGCAATATTTGTGGCCACAGCTTGATTAAGCATTTATGAATGCAAAGTGCAAATCTTTATGAAATGTTAAAAGCTTCTCACAGCAAATGTCAGCAAATATCACATGGTATATTTCCCAACGCATCTAATTGCAAGTTAATCGAAAAATTAAAAACTTCAAAACTTTTATGCACTGCTCGATCATTACAGATTTTTGAGAGAGGATGTGATAGACTAGAAGGTGTTACACTATCATAAGAATTAAACTTATAATAGAGAAGATTGTAAAGTCTATACTCCAATTGTAAATGTATCAGGACAGAAATTGATATATGATATAATGTAATTTAGTATTATTTCAGTTTTACATAGGCTCTTTGTTATTTTAGATAAATGATCGAAGAACACACTCACTCCTTTATTTACGATGTGTTAAACCACACCAGAAATATATATTTACTTGAAATATTGTATAATCTATAAAGTATAAAATATAATCTGATAGCTGATGTAAGAGGTAAGAGGCATTTCCGCGTCATATTCCCGAACTTCTTCTCTTCCAGTCACATATAACACATCTCCTAACCAACTTATTTTTTGTATTCAAGGGTATCTGCCAGTCGTTATTCCGTAAATTCACCAGTAACACAGACTCCCATTTACTCTCTCAAATATCTTCAATCAGGCCATAGCAAAAAGTAACTGCTAGTCATACTCTCAGCCAGTTCTTTCTCGCATTTAAAGGGTATCTGCTAGCCACCATCCCACACACATCCCCTTTTGGTATAAATTATGAATAAATACTTATGCGCAACTCCCAACAGCTATATAAGTATTTGAGAATTATGCATTTTGAGCGCTGCTGTGGGTGTCTTTGGGGTGGACCACAAGAGCAGCCTGGCGCTGGCCTCCTGTTCAATCTAATCTTCAAAGCAGCCACAACCCTTTTTTCCAGTTGCCAACCAAGTGGGGAGCAAAAAAAATGTGGATAATTTTTAGCTTTGAACGCAAAGTTCCCCTTTGGCTAGAATACATAATTCATAAACCAGGAGCCATTTGAACTGCGTCCGCAATGCTGCGCCACAAAGCTAGATAAAGAGAGATACATAGAGTGAAAAGTAGGGACCGAGAGAGAAAGAGACAGAGAGCGAGTGAATGAGAGGAAACTTTGATGGTGGAACTTTTTAATCGGATTCGGCAGCTCGATTGCCATCACATCGAGCATCGGCACTTTCTTAGTGGTTTGCTAAGATATTTTCGTCTCGAACTGCTGCAGGCCACAAAGTTTCGCCCAAAAAAGACCCAAAATCTCGAATGGATAAATTTGGCACTATTTAAGGCAGTTTCTCCATAAAATTCATCATGCATTACATTACAAAACTAAAATTTTGCTGGGAGCACACTTGATTCAACTAAAAAAGTATATAAGGATGGTGTGAGAGCTTCTATCCAGAAAATTGTACAAGTGAAAAGTTGATTTGCGATGTGGAAATTTTGGTAAAAACCATATTAATAATGGAGATTTATTACTATTATTA